CCCCTCTCTCTCTCTCTCTCTCTCCTCCCCCTCCTCCTCCCCCATACCTTTCTCTATTGCTCGCTCTCTCCCATTTTGTCGCTCCTTCCTTTTCTTTCCGCGTTACTTTCTTTGTTTTCTGTCTCTGTCTCCTTTCCTTGTGTACTATTTTCTCTCTTTTTATAGTTTCAATTTCCCTTTCATGCTTGGCTTTTTTTTCCTCTCCGTGAGTCCAGGAGTCCAGGGTCTTATTAATTTTATTTGCCTTATAAAAAGACGTAACACTCCTACGCCTACGTCTTTTCCTTTGACTGTCTGTATAACCTTTTCGTCAGGGAGTATGTGGTCTGTTCTCGTTTCTCAGACAAAAACAAAATAAAGCAAGCAAGCAAACAAACAAGCAAACACACAAACAAACATACAAATAAACAATCAAAAACTCCACCAACCTTCACTTCTCCTCTATGGAAACAATTTTATAAGATCGAATACAGCTGTACAAGTAGTTATTTACAGCTTCGTGGACTTGATAGATCGTCGAAAGTTCAATAGATCGTGTAAGCTTGAGTGAAAGCCAGCTGTATTAATAAAATGTAATTACATGTACATCCAACGTGCTTTCTGAATCCTGAAACGGGTAAAGATCGACCTCGCTCGATCCCACGTATACACAACCTTTATCACTCATGGCCTTTCCAGCACGTACGCACTGTACATGTTATGCACTACATTCAGTCATGAGTCACCTTATGATAAATTACTCACATATTTCATCAGTCTTCATTTTCGTGGTTTCCCCCCATGCTCACAGCCTGGCGTTCAACGATTTTCAGCATTGCTTATGCTTATTATAGGTGACGCCAGATGGGCGGTTCATTACCTGTGTTTGCTCTATCTTTTAATCTATCTGCCAGTCTGTATTTTAGGGAGACTTGAGGGGGCTGTCGTGTGTGGCCTAGAGGTTAAGGTGTTCGACTCTCATTCAATAGCTCCCGGGTTCGAATCCGGATAGCGAGGGAAATTTTCTTCTCTAAAATTGTCTCCTTTCACCACCTTTCCCGCTCCAGAAATGTTCTGCCGTCTTCTTTTGTCTCCACTTTCTGCCGTCACCCCCTCACCTCCCTTGCCCCCTTCTCGGGGGCCCCTGACTCTTTCTGCAGCCTTTCTACAGCTACTCCGTAGCTCCTTCTCACTGCTGTTCTTTCAGCCACACCCCTGATCTTCTGGTAGAAAAGATCTACACCTAGCCTTCTCAGAAAACGGCGAAAAATCTCAGATGTCCCGTGTGCAAGTTGCGCATTTTAAAGATCCCTTGGTGGTCCAAAAATCAATAAGAGTAGGCTTCGGCCGCAACCCGGGCAAAATTCAAATTTTCCTACCAACTGAAAAATGCTTAATGTGTCCTGCGCGCTCGTTATGACCTTATGCGGTTGCGAGCGTCGTAAAACATTTACTAAAAAAAAAAGAAAAGAAAAAAGAAAAAAGGGAAAGACTGAAACGAGAACTCTTGTGTAGGCATATTCACAAACATTTTTAGATGTAAATACGCAAAAGAGGCTGGCATAAGTGTACACCCAGTTACAGATTCACACTTGCACACAGTACATGTAGTCTTTTTCTCAAAGCAAACCAACCACTCCTCGTTGAGTCGTTGCTGTCCTTCTTCCATAAT